GACAGGGGCAGTGCCAAGTGGATGGTAGCCTGGTGGCATTGTCTGCCTGGCACCTGGAGCCTGAACCAAGTTAGGGCAGGACTGGGGCCCAGGGCCGGCAGGAAATGAGGGCACCATGAAAGGAGTCAAGCTGTGACCACAGCATCGACTTGATAAAAACCCGGGCCCTTCCCACTTCCTCCTGTCCCTTCTGCCCACCCACTCTGAGGGACTGGAGACCTTGGGGAGCACCGGCCGGGTCGGGGATGTTCAACTCCAGCTGTCCCTGAGAGCCACCTGTGGTCCTTAGGGGACAGGCCCAAGGGCCAGCCCAGGTTCTCCATCATCGCCAAGGGTGGAAGACACCAGCCTGGTGTCTTCAAAACATCCAAGGTGACTGGAGCAGAGGCTGTGAGCCTCCCCACAGACAAACGGCCTTATCCAACGCTGCGTTTGAGGTGCCGAGTGACCAGGCATTCCCTCGGATGCATGGCCCTCACTGAGGGACAGGGCTCCTCCAGCTCGCTCAAACTGGGCCAGGTAGCAAAGCCTTTCCAGGGTCCTCACGTGGGCATGGGCAGGGCCATGCTGGTCAGCGCTGCTGTCGACACCTGGCAGGGCTGACCTTGCTTAAAAAAGCAGCCTTTTCCAGCAGGCTGTTTTTGATCTAAAGATTTCCTCCTTTAGACATTCCTGTTTTCACAACTGGAGATGTAGGGGAGGAGGAAGATATGATGAAAGGAAATCAGCCTCCTGGATTTCCGGCTTTGGTGTTAGTCCAGTCCCCTCTGGTTTTCATTCAACGCCATGATTTGGTGTCGGCATTAACCATGACGTGGACTGTCCACTCTCTTCAGCTTCTGCTCCAGAGGGAGCAGGGGAGGCCGCAGACTGAGCCCCTTTGAGCTCATGCTCCAGTTCTTTGCACAAAGGAAATGCAGCCTCCCACACAGGCCCCAAACCCACACACCAGCCCACTCAGGGGGGCCTAGGCCTGGCCAGCACACCCGCGATGCACACTCCACCAGCCTCCCACCCAGGCAGCAGTGACCCGCGGACTTCCAGCTGCCAAGGTTCTTTTCATTCCCAAAATGTGCTGAAGTTATTTTTTTTCAATGTAACTCCTGACTTAGATGAATCATTTGTTGCTCAACTTTCTTTGGCCCAATTTCCCCCCTGGAATAATACTTGTCATCTACCTTATAAGATGACAACTAATTTATTGACTTTTGAGGTCTTTAGATGAAAGGTGTTACTGTTTGTAAGTGTAAATTATGATTATTTAGTAACCTCTGAGTTGGTAAAGATTTATTCATAAGGAATGTTTGGAAGAGAGCTTTTAGGAATGACCCATGGGAGAAATACAGCTTGATAATATATTTTGAAAATATGTTTTAGGTTTACCAACATAAAAAAAGTCCCAAGTATTAGACATTCTTTCTGAAAGCACCTAAATTGCATTATTGTTACTAGCTTTTTTTGTTTTTTGTTTTTTTGGGGGGGTACCAGGGAACGAACTCAGGACCCTGCGCTTGCAAGGCAGGTGGCAGAACCACTGAGCTAAATCCCCGGCCCTTGTTACTGGTTTTTATCTAGAGCTCAGAACAAACACAGGGAGGAAGGTGAGGGTTTGCAGGTCTCAGCTTTGGGGACCCCTCCCCCTCAGCTGCCATCTCCCTGGCCCCATGGCCTTGTGCAGTGTCTTTTCTGATGGCCCTGTCACAGGGCCGTTACCTCTCTGACAGCCCTGCTGCTGTGCGGGGCAGAGTTGGGCGGAGTGGGTGGCTGTGAAGGGGTTGGTAATTGCATCCCTGAGCTCATGGGCAGAGAAAGGGAAACCTGGCGGTTCTCCTTTGAGCTTTGGATGCTTTTAGCCAGGGAGAGTTGGTTTGTTACAAGTTGTCATACCACTGAACAGAGAGACCTTGGCTAACGCAGAAAGAGCCTGATTCACACAGGCAACTGCATCATCGCGAGTTCACTGGGGCCCTCTGCCAGCTTCCTAGGACACAGGCTCCCACCGGGCTCAGGGACAGGACTCGCGCCAGTCCCCTGTGTGCAAGGAAGCCGCCTTTGAGGTGATCCAGAGCCCAGCCCTGCATGGCGCCCAGCATCTCCTGAGGAGCACAGGAGCGGTGCAAGCCATGCCTGCCTGTTAGGGCCAGGCCTTGTGATGCTGATGTGTGAAGGGGATCAGTGCTGGCTGGACAAGCTTTCTGCTGTTGCTTATGAGGACAAAATTTCTTTACCCACTTTTACACACTTCTGTCAAAGGAAAGCAAGTCATTGAAACCAAAAATGTTTCACAAAGGAAAAACCAGTTTCTTCTTTGGTGACATGAGAAAATTTACCACAACTCCACTCAAAACCTTCAGGCACTTGACTTTTTTTTTTTTTTTAATATCCTTTTCCTTTTTCATAAAAAGTAAAAAACAAAAAATACATCGATGTCCTGAATAGAACCTCTCTATGTAAAGATCTCACTAAACAAATAAACATAGGACCAGACAAGAAATGGAGCTATGAATAGCAGTATGATATATTATGAAGCATTTATATATTTATGTATATTATGAATGTGCAGGCATACATGTGTGCACCTATGTATGTACGAATATGTAAATATTTGCCTACATACACGTCACACACACACATATTTATACTGACCTCTTTAGACTGAAGTCCAAGGCACTTTTTACAATGAACAGGTTAAAGCCATTAATTTAGAACATAACTGTTTCTGGGTACATATCGATTTATGATGCCAACGTCAGAATTTGCATCTTTCCTTCCCACCTTGGCTGGTGTGATGGAAAAGGGAATTGGGTTAAGAAGAGATTAGGAATGGTTTTGGATGAGTGGACTGCTTTCTCCTGCTGGCTCCTCAAGGGGAGGAGAGTTCTCTGGACTCGCTGGGGAACACAACTATTTCTGCACTGTTGTGAGCAGAGAGCGTGCAGCTGTGTGTGGCTCCTCCTAGCAGGGGCTGAAATGCAGAGCCTAAAAGGGGCCCGGAGTGGCTCAGGACTACGCAGGGCGCGCTCGGTAGACTGGAGTGGGGCTGCCAGTGTGGACAGACGCCATCCAAGCCACGACCCAAACGGAGCTTTAAGTCACGTCCATCTTTATCCTTATGACCCACAGGACCTTCCATCACCAAATAATTTGGTAAATGAAGCTCAAGGAAGAACCGGCTTAAGGCTAAGTGAGGTTGGTTACCTTTGCAGTGTCTCGGTATTTACTGTGTGTATAGATCACCTGGAGACTGGTTACAATGGTGATTCGGATTAAGTTCACTCAGCATGGGGCCTGGATTCCTCATTTCTAGCAAGTGTCCAGGGGTGCTGATGCAGGGTCTGTAGACCACACTCGAGGAGCAAGGATCAGCACAGGGCAGTACACTCAATTCCCATTCAGTGGGCCGGTTTCCCAAGCCTGAATCGGAGTTGGTTTCCTTGATTCTAGATGAGTAACAACTTTGATGGGAAAGGTCAGAATGTATTTGCTCTCTATCAGTGTAAACATCTTAGTCTGAGAAGTGCTAGGAGGGAAAGCCAAAGAGAGTTCCATTTAGTAGCAGAAAAGTATGAAGAAACAAATCGATCACCCCCGGTGCATTTCATCAGTCAATTATAAATTGAGAATGAGCTAGTTGCCTTCACCCCGTGAGTGTGGAGCCTGCGGGAAGCAGGTGCCCTGAGCTGACGGCTTTAATGGTGCTGGGCCTCACATACAATTCAGGGGAAACAGATGCGGGGAGGTCTTAGGTCCCTACTAAGATGGCTACTCAAGCAGCCTGAAACCGGACATTTAGACCTTTCTCTCTCAGATGGTGCGAGTAATGCCAGAGACGCAAGCCTCAATTGATACAGTAAGAGAATTGAAGCTCAAAGAGCTGGGTGTGGAGGCACGCCTGTAATCCCAGCACTTGGTAGGCTGAGGCAGAAGGATCACCTTGAGTTTGAGGCCAGCCTGAAAGTCCAAGGCCAGTCTGCACTACATAGCAAGACTTTGTCTCAAAACAACCGAGAGAGAAAGAGGGGGCCTCAAAGTTCAAATACTGTGAAATTTCCCAGGAGAAGACCTGCTTGGTACTGTCTGCGTGTCTGGGGGAAGGTTAGAGTTTGGAAGGGGCCGACACAAAGGCTCAGACAAAGCGACCTGACACACCTTGGTGTGCAACTGTACCGCCCTGCACAGTAGGGAGAGTGCGCAGGCCCTCACAAGAGAGTGACTGTAGGGAACGAGCACATCCCTGTTCTTCCGGAAACAGGACCGTGGTCATTCAAAGGAGGGAACCGGTAAATTCTACTCGTGTGTCTCGGCCACTGTGTGGAGAAGCAGGGGAGTGGATTTCGGGAGTTGCTTGATTTTGCAGTAAAGGAAACGTCTGGGTGGACAGGGTTTCCCCCGGAGAGGGCAGAGTCCCAGGGACGGAGCTGGGTCTCTGTCCACATCCCCCACTCCCTTGGGAGCTGGGCTGCACGTCGGGGATGAGCAGTGGCCCTCTCACTCCGGGCCTCGCCAGCTCCGAAGGGGCACCCTGCCTTCACTCCCTCACAGAGAAACGCTCAATGCCTGGAATTTCAAGTGCCGTATTGTGAGTCACAGGAAATCAGGACCCTTCCTTACACCCGCCTCCCACCCTGGAAAGGAAAACTGGGTGGCTGGGCTAGAGGCATAATTTATGGAGTGCAATGGGATGGGGCCTTCGCATTTATATGGAGAGAGTCCGCCCTGTTATTAAGCTGGCTGTGCACAGCTGCAGGGAGGGATGGCTTTTAAAACCTCTTCTGAGATGGCTTGATAGAATCTAGGGAGGAATTGGCTTGCTGCTTACGGCTGAGCTTGTACTAGTGTTTTGGTTGTTTTTGTCACTAACAGCCAGCTCTCGGAGAATGAGAGTGTGCTGTGGGACGTGGCCAGGTGAGCCCACCTCTGACGGGGATGTGTACTCAGAAACAGTTCTCAGGAGAGCAGGCTGACACTGGACCTGCTAAAGACTAGCTCAGTACAAAATGTTAATTGAAAGTTACAATATATTTTATAATATAGCAATATATTTCATATTTAAAATAAACTGTTATGCTTTCTCCTATCATTAAAAAATAGCAAGCAGTACAGAGGCAAGATGCAAATTCATACTGAAGCTCGTCCAGTCTGGGATATAAACACTTCGATCTCTGAGTGCCGTGGAAATGTTTCCTCCATGAATATCCTGCCACTTCCTTGTTCTCTTGTGGCCAGCATAGAATGGAGAGCCTAGGACAAAAACTGAGGTGTTTTTCCACCAAAAGCTATGTTCTGAAGAAGGCGGATCTGTCCTGATTGGGATTCAGATTGACGCAGCTCCGGAACATCGTTGATTTACTGTCTGTCTTGTGGGAAGCTGGGTGTTGGCTTGTCCATCAGATTCATATTTGATTTCTCACTTTTTTTTTTTACCAGAAATGTCAGCATCTCTCTGGGGTCCTAACTATTGGTTGGTGTTGAAGTTTGTGCTTTTTCGTCACCAGGTTGGTTGGTCACCATAACTCTTCCGTATGTCCAGGCCCAGGATCACAGCTTCCAGAATATGTGTCTCAGGTGTGTAAACAACTGTCACCGGGCACTTGGCACCTAGGGTTGGAGGTCATACGTTGAAGATTTGACAATGGTCTCATTCAGAGGAACTCCAGTTCATGTGTGGGTGTTTCCAGGAATGGTGTAAGACAAAAACATCACAGTTATATTTTTCTCTATCTGTATATTTCTGTACACCTTTGCACTGAGTACTTCCTAACAAGCTGTGGTCTATTTCAGTAAGAATCTACATATCACTCTTCTGACAGGCGTTTCAAGTCAGTTTCTATTCATGCAGCCTGGCACATGCTTCCTACCACACAGGCAGACAGTTAATATTGCTATCCCTGCAATACTACTTTCTCAGTGGTGCAAAACCTTTACCTTGGCAGCAGTGTAGGAGGAAGAGACACTGTCCAGGGTGTCTTTGAGCCAGCTGACTGCAGGGGGAGAGAAGGGGCTGTCCCAGACTACCAGGGAGCTACCAGGTAGCTGTCTAAGGTACTGAAACCAAACGCCAAGGTCAACAGGGACAGCAAAATGCCTGCTAACAACTCTGTCCGCTTCTAGCAACTTTCCAGGAAATAGATGACTGTACAAAGACAAGGACTTAAAAGCCATAAAAGAGTAATAACCTACTGGTAGTGCAGTGACTTCACAGGGTCTCAGATGGGGGCTATGATTGCAACAAGGCCATTTGCTCCGAGGTGAAACCGATTCCTACTTGGGCTGACTGTTTGTGGGGTTACACTCTGGGGAGCAGGGAGGTTCTGGAACTGTGTGCTAATCCCATATTCCTCCCTGCTGATTCTGCAACCCATGTGTTATGTCACAGTTACTTCTTGGAAATTATTGACTGCATTCAAATGTAGCAGCAAAGCGTGGCCTAGCTGGTCAGTCTGGGCTGCTGTTGGTGACAATTGTGATTTCATTTTCCCCTTCTATTGAATACTTTGTACTTAATAATATTAACTATTATCTTCATTTTAAGTACAGAGAAATTGAGGTATGAGGTGTTTATATTAATTGGCAAAGATGTGGGTCCAAATTGAGATTTTTATTTTTCTGATTTTGTATCCCTAGTTTTGTTCTTTTCCATGACTTAGTCACAGAAAATTGCTGAAAATGTAAGGGGGGAAATCCTCAAACATAATAAAGTCATTATTTCTTCAATGCTGTTCCTTCTTGCCCTTAAACAGTCCTAAGAATTTGTACTTGCTCAGCATTTTAGGCTTTGTTCTCCTGTGTCCAGCCCTACACTCCCAGTTTGTGAAGCCACCAGGCCCAGTCCCTGCTGAGTTGAGAGTCTCAGTGGTGACTCGGGTGGCGCCTCTTGTTCTTTTGGATTCTATCAAGCATTCTACAGATATGATGTCATGAAGTTACATATTATGAAGATGGCAAGAACAGTTCATAAACACTTGATGATAATTTATTGATGATGATCACACATATGTGGCCTTTAATCCAAAGGTGCAGATTTTTATTTGGACTTCAATCTAAGGAGGAGTGAGCTTCCAGTCTGGTATAATTCACCAACTGATGCTATGTCCTCAAATCCCACTGAGATTTGTGGTCTTAATGTATCACAGTACATCCCTGACTTTACAGTACATGAAGCTATAATATGGCTTAAGCGATGGGGGATGGCTCTGTATTTCTAATTCAAGTGTCTAGATAGCTGGGGGAATATTAGAGTGCTTTGACCTGCCACTGTATTAATGGAAAGGTTATAGGAGGGGCTCTGCCACTGGGCCAGCCTTCTAGGAGTGGGCAGAATTAAGTCAGTTCAATACTGGAGTAAGGTTACTGTAATTAATTGTTTTTACATGTAGCCTATTGTTTTTTGTTGTCATTGTTGGGTTTGGGGGGGGGGTCCTTGATCTTTTTTCCCCTCCTTTTTTTGTACCAGGAACCAAACTCACACTGGCTGGGAAGGTGCCACACCTCTGAGCTATGTCCCCAGCCCATATAGCCCATTCTTGAGTAGATAATTAAACCTCCTCCACTACCAAACCTGGAAATAAGGTACAAGAAGGCATGGCAGTAGAATTCTGTCTCCCTTTCCTTCTGACCTAGATGCTGAGGCCAAAAGATGTAGGAAGAAAATCCAGGTGAGCTACACCCAGGATGATCAATACCTAGGTCATTAAAGGTTTATTGTACTTGCAAGAGAATTGTAACTTCCCCACATAAAGCTGAAATGCTAGTTCAGAGAAATAGTATCCCATTTACCATTACAGAATCAACATGCAGATTCGGTCACTTACTTTTCTGAAGAATGAGTTTCTTTCGCCAATAATGAAAACCATTCATAGCTATTGCACTACCAATAGGCCAAGTCCTGCTATAAACGCCCGCGGTCTTTGTAGCCAGCGGCGACTGCCACTGAAAGGCCCAACCACTCCTCGCCTGGTGCTGCTAACCTGGGCTTCAGTGTTCACCTGGTGAGAGCATCGGTAATGGGCCCAAGAATTATCCTCATCCGTCATGGATAAATGACCGTCCGCGCACTGTCGGGCAGGAGGAGTGGTGGTGGAATCCTGCTTGTCATTTAGCTGAATGGAGACTAAATCCCGCATGTGCCCCGCTCCTGGCCACGCCCTCCACCCGCGCATGCGCACAGGGCACAGGGTACTGCAGGAGGACAAGGCAGGCAGGTGTCAATGGCGGAGGGCTGGAGGTTGAATGCTCAGGACTGGCGTGCTCAGGGCTCCAGCAGCGGGCTCTGTGAAATGGAGGTAATGCCACAAGGAAACTACATGACTATTTCGTGTTTTTACATCTGCTCACATATTTGGCTGAACTGTGATTGAAAACAGAAGCACCATTCTTGGAAAGAAAAGGAAAAAACGGAGGGGGGAGTCTTTCAGATAATTAATAGTTAAAAGAACAAGTAAAAAAAAAAAAATAGAAAGCCAACAGCAGGTGTGGCATCTCTGGTATGCAAAAAACAAAGACAACTGATGAAAATACTCCAGGAAGTTATCAAGAGTAAACCACCAAGAGGACTGAAGCAACAGCAGCATCTGGGGTAGAGCCCTGGCCTAGCATGTGCAAGGCCCCAGCTTCCATCCCCAGCACTGACAAACAAGCACATGCAACACGAAACAAAACAAAAGCAATGGCAAGACACAGAGAAGAGGTTAGCACCACCCCGAGAATGCCCACGACGTCCTGCTACAAAGCCCAGCCCAGGATGGCAACCTTATGCGAACAACACCCTCTGCATCACCCTAAACAGATGAAATGTTCCACATGGCATCTTTCGTTTCCCCACAGCAGAGGTCAAAGACCCCAGAACATGGAAAGTGATGACGAACCCATCACAAATGCAATGCACGGTCAGATTATGGAGCAATGAGAAGGATTTTCAGTGCCTGTCCCTACGCTCTGTCTTGATGTTTTTGGTCTCTTGGAGTCTGAGACATTCTGGAATAATTTTTGCACCAAGATTAACATGGCACAGTAGGAAGGCTGCACAATCTCTTTCCTCTTATCTCCCCCACCAGTTCCCTTAGGGCACCCTGTGTTCTCATGGGATTTCCCTCTGAGGTGACTCCCGATTGGGCAGAAGGACCATGCTGGCCACTCTGTCCTCCCAGCTCAGCGGCTCATTGGTGAGCACTTGGCCCTTTCTTGCTCCTAAAGGCTTCCTGAGCCCTGAAACCTGTCACTGGGTGAATACTGCTCCAACTCCCAGACCACACTTCCATTCGTGGCCATGTCGCTGGGTGGCACCTGCGTGTGCACCTCTGTTCCCCTCCCTCACACCATAACCTGGGCGTGTGGTCCACCACAACACAGCCTGTATGGCTGTAAGAAGAAAACTCTGCCAGAGCTGTTATTTTTAGAAGCCTGCTGATCCCTCCAGAATGCCAACAATTTCCATGCAGCATCCACTTCAAATCACACACAGCGTGTATCCAGGGCACAGCAACTTGCACTGTTGGGAGGGACCTGCTCTTCCATGAAGCTCAGAAGGTGGTGTCACCAGCTAACTTCCCGAACCGAACGCACCCCACATTCAGATCAAAGCCAGCTGGGCCCACGTCAGAGGCTGCCTGCTGTGGGCAGGGAAAGGCACCAGGTCCCTTTTTATTCGGCTTGAGCTCAGACAAGAAAAGACCTGGACTGAATGTGGGATGTGCGTGTGTCTGTGCTTGCACGTGCTCACAAACACAGAATGGGAAATCTGGCTTTTTTCAGTCTGCACTGGGTATGTCTGTTTTGGCAAGTGGTGGGCAGCTCTCTTGCTTTTGACCCCTGGAGGCTTCCGCAGACAATCAGAAAGGAGAGAGGTGTGCTGGGGTGGCCCGGCCCCACCCTCCCCAGGGCCCCTCTCCACGGCCCACAGCTGGCTGCCTCAGGAGTCCCCTCCCCACCCCCACGTGAAGACCTGAGATTGAGTGTGGATTTCTTTTCTCCACCAACTGCGGCAAGGGCCCTGCCAGAGGCGACGCTTCCTGTCCTGTCCTCTTCCTGCTTCCAAGTAGAGGCACCTAAACAGAGATTAGATTTCTGGCTTCAAGGCATCTCCAGCCAAGCACGCCGAAGGAACGTGAGTTAGCTAATCCGCCGGGTCTCGCCTCTCTCCAGTCCCTGGTCTGGGAGTCCCAGGATGGCAAAGCGACCTGGAGAGTTGATTTGCATCTTAAGACCTCTGGGTAACGCTTCTGGACGGGGAGTTTTATTTAGCAACTGCTTGAACTTGTGTACGGGGTCGGGAAGGAGGTGGAGCTGACCCCGATCGGGCTGTCGGACAGCGGGGCGGGGGTGGTCCCCACCGCCACGCTCACGGCGCGGGCCTCCAGGAGGGCGGTCAGGAGCTGCTGCTGCTGCTGGCGAAGCGTGTCCGCGAGGAGCAGGGGCAGGGAGTTGAAGCTGGCAGAGAGGTGCTCCAGCTTGGCCTCCAGGCTGCCGATCTGCTTCTCCAGGTCCTCGCTGCGATCGTTGAGTTCCGTGATTAAGTCATACACGACGTTCTGCATCTGTGTGGGGAGATGGAACGGGAGGGGACGGCGTCACAGAGGGGTCTGCACGGGGACCGGAAGCCCCGCCTCACAGCAGTGGGCAGATGTGGCCGAGGCGGAGACCTGGTCCACTTCCGGAGACGGGAGGCCCATGGCTTCTCATCACAAAAGTACCGAGCGTTGATTACACTTTAAAATAGGAAACAGGTATGTAGGAACAGAAACGGCACCTCTGCTTCAACCAAGTGAGCTCTAAACCGTGTCTGTACTCTGGGGAGACCTGAGCGCTCAGCTCCGTGGCCCTGACGAGAGGAAGCCAGGTGCAGAGGGCTGGTGGCACACTTGGGTCAGCAGGCCTGGGCCCGGGTGCAAGTCTGCACGCAGCTCACCAACGCACCCTCTGCCGGGCCGCTTAGCCTCTGGCCCGTGCCTCCTGATCAAGTTGGAGTTAACAATGACAGCACCCACTCGGGTCACCGTGCCCCCCTTCCAGCTCGGCGGCTGAACAGCTTGGAATGTGCAATGTGGGTAGCTCCCGAGGCAGGCCCGATGACTGGGAGCGGCCTTGCTGACAGCCTGCCCTTCCCGGCTGGCCCCTGTGGCTGCTCTGGGATATCCCCAGGGTCCTTCCCCGTGGCTGAGCCCTGGTTGACTCCCCTCCTATGGTCCTGACAGTGGCTGTCTCAAGGGCATGCCTCTATTGACCTCTTGCACCCTACACCACTTCCTGGTGCCAGGGCCCTCACCTTTACCAGTGCTCCGGCCCCAGACACCCCCTGGCCGCCGTGCCGATCTTCAGAGTCCCAGGCTATGTGAGAGCCATATTTCTCCTAGCAAATTACCAAATGCCATCCTGGCTCCCTACCTCGAACTTGGGAGCCAGATCCCCAGGAGTCTTCATGCTCTTGAGGGTTTGGGAATGAGGCCCCGGCGGCGGCAGAGAGGCAGACGGGCTGGCGTTTGGGCCCCATCCTAGGGTGCACTGAGCTATGGGGGACCTGCCAGTGACATCCCGATCCTGTTTCATCCGGAACACCAGGTTTCTCTAGAAGGCAGTAGAAACCATGGGGGCCAAAGGAGCAGGGAGTAAGGACAAAAAACAGGGGAGTAGAAGGTGGGAGAAAATGAGAAGCCAGAGAGGAACAGGAAGGGGGTTTGGAGGTGTAGCAAAACCCTGCTGACTGGGATTCACTAGGCTGCTCTCCCATCGGCTCTGCCATTGCCAGGGGTGACTTTAGAAGTCGGGAGTCTGTCCCTGGGTAATTAGCATTCACAGAGGAGGGACAAGCTCTTCCCGGAATGTGAGACCTCAATTCTGCTCCGCAAGGCACCCTGCTGAGCCGGGCTCCAGTGAGGCCCCAGCCACAGGCTGGCCAACGGCCCGACCTTGAGACAGTCACTCTGTCCCTTGGATCCTGGTTCTTCATCTATATTCACAATCAGTATCAGCATCTACAAAACCTTTAGAGCTTCCAACCACTTCTGCAGATGCCATCTCATTTGATCACCTGAGCCTCAGATGGTGGGAATTATTTTGACATTTCATTTGAAGAAATCGAAGCAATCAGGTAAAATACCCAGGCCCTCCCAGCTCTGTCACCATATAAAGTAGCTATTCAGTCTAGAAATTAATATTTGGAGGCCATGTGCCACATTCTTCATCTGGGAGGATGGAAGGGCAGGGGTGGGAAGGTGCTGGGCTGGGAGGGTGAAACATAAAGAAAAGGGAGCCAGCACAGCATATGCTGGCCTCCCCGGTTCTGTTGCCTAGTGACAGGATGCCAGGGGGAACGTGGACCAATGTGAGATGTGCTCAGCCGCTGCCAGCACTTGGGCAAGTCTCCTAGGGAAAGAGACAAGGACTGGAGGCTGTCAGAGTTGTCTCCTCCCCAGCATTCATGCCCGGTCCCTGCAGCGCCTCTGGGAATCTCCCCCTAAGCCTTCCCTGCACACTCTTTCTTTCCAGGTAACTTGCTCCCCCGGTTATGTGGTTGGTTCCCCTGTCCAATTCATAAGAGCATTTTTCCAGCTCACTGGGGCTTTTGCTTCACCTGTTGGCTCTGCTGGGTCCCTTCTCTCTGAGAGGGGGGTGGCATCGCAGAAAGGTAGGCTTGAAGGGTGGGTGTACCTGATATTCCTGGGGAACATCAGCTACCATGTGCCCTGCTAGATGGGAGGGGAAACACTGCTACTCGTAGAAGACTAGGAAATCTCACTGGGACATTCCTGAATTTCACGGAGTGGGTCCCCGGATATGTTTTTTTTTTTCTCTCATGAATCTTGTCCTGGCTATAGCTGATTGGTCCAAGGGTGGGCACATGACCCAAACTGGCCAATCAGCTTGTTTCATCTGAGAATTTAGAAATAAGACCAATAAAAGGTGAGTGAGGAGAGGATGAGAGAGAGAGAGAGAGAGAGAGAGAGAGAGAGAGAGGGAATTGAGCCAGGCACTTGACTGGAGAGATGAGGCATGGTGCGAGAACACCTCCTGAGGCTTCCCAGGTCCTGTTCCAGTCAGGCCCTTCCTAAAGTCAGACACATGTCTGCCCTGAGGTGTTTGGGAAGGAGACTCCCTTACATCCTTGGAGCGCCTTCCTCCCGGAGACCCCGGGGTTCTCTCCTGCACACCAGCGTGCCATTCACACCTGACCTGCCTGCGCTCTCCTCACACCCCGGGCGTGGGCACCCAGGCTCCCAGGAACTCCCACTCCACCTCCACAGCCCCCTCTGAGGCCCAGGCTGTGGGCCTCTCCCCAGCGGCACGGAGCCACCTGGTCCCAGATTGAAGTCCTCACAGGCCTGGGGCCGCTTTCTTTGGCTTGATCCCACTATTGAACAAGATACCTGCAAGTGGCCCAACGACCAGTAATTTCTGATTACACCCTCTTTTCAAAAGGTGCTCAGTTTGCCAGAGGGAGTTTCTCTTGCTTTCTCTCCTGGGGAACTTGTTCCTTATACCTGACATCTGCAGAATGTTCTGCCAGCCTGGCCCTGGGCGAGTTCTATGGAGGCAACGAGGAGAGCCTCCCTGCAATGCTGTGACGCTGCTCTGCCCACAGTGGCCTTCACTCCCTTCCCACAGTGATGTGCAACAGGACCATGTTTAAGTGCTCATGGAAGCTCAGTGCCGGAAACACAGGGCGACACGTGACAGCGAGCCTCAGGCCCTGGGCGCTCAAAGGAGGCCACTCTTTTCGGGATCTTCATGTTCATGTCAGCCTCTTAAGAAGTAAAGAATTTGGGCCTAGAAAACCAGGCTCGAGGGACTGGGAGATGCAGGAAAATGCATTTGCAATTATTATAGCAGCAAACGGGCAGGGTCCCTCATTAAGGGCTTTGCCCGTGCAGCTCAGAGGGCCCTCAGAAGCTCCCTGTGCACAGCTGCTGTAGCCACACACTGAACAGACCCAGTGGACGGCTAGCTAGGTCCAGGCAAAGACAAACCTGAGCCGTCTAGCTTAGGAAACAAATGGCAAACTTTAAACGACGTACCGCAGGGTGTAAACGTCAAAAACTCGAGCCTTCTTTACACCAAGATCATTCTCCAACGGGGAGGAGCTGTTCCTCACTCTCCTGGGCCTGTATGGAGAGGCTCCGGACACTGCCACTCACCTTGGAAAGATCCACCAGAGTGTTGGCCTGGTCGCTCAGCTTCCTCTGCTCCATCTTCACACTCCTCAGCCTGCGGGGAGAGGGAGCGGCCAGACCCCAAGGCCATGTTAGGGTTGGCCGCCAGCCACTCTGCAGCCCTGTCATTTCTCCTGAGGTTCCTCTTCGTGGGGCACATGAGCTGAGGAGCAACCGAAAGACACAGAGGCTCCTCGGCCCCAGAGAGCAAGCTCCGGGCTCCACACATGCTCAGCTCCAGCCGCTTGACTCACTTGCTGTGCTCAGGTCCTCTGCCTGCTTCTTTCCTTTGCTAGGCTGTGCTTCTACCATGAATGCCCTCTTCTCAGCCTTTCAGTGTTTCCCGGACCTCCAGGTCAGAATGAATGTTTTCATCCTTTGCTTTTTTATGGTACTTAGAAAAACTGTATTCCTAGCTAGGTATGGCATTGCATGCCTGTAATCTCAGCACTCTAGGAGGCTGAGGCAGGAGGATCATAGATTCAAGCCCAGCCTTGAGCCCCTATCTCAAAATTTTAAAAGATTAAAAAAAAAAAAGGCTGGGGATTTAGCTGAGTGTGAGAGCCCTGGGCTCAATCCCTAGCGACACACACACACACACACACACACGCACACACACACACACACACGTCATATTCTTCTGTCACAGGAGGTGCTCTGAGTCACAGTACTAGGGTGTGTGTGAGAGAGAGAGAGAGAGACACGAGGCCACAGGGACCCTAGCTCTCACTTTTCGGTCCATGCATCCTGCCCACAGTCTGGCAGGTGCAGTCAGTGAGTCAGCAGACTGGGAGGGAACAGCCCGGTTTCTCCTGTGCCTCCTGGGTGTCCGAGCCCCCCCGCCCCCACGTGCTGGCCTGCTGCCCAGCTAGGTGCTCACTGGTGGATAGCCTGCAGGAACTTCCGCTGGTGCTTCCTGACTTTGGCGTGGTCCATCTTCTTCAGCAGCTTTGTGTGTTTGTAGATGAGCCACGTTTCCCGGAGGACATTGGCTGCAGCGTTCTTGATCTAAGGAGAGAAACAAAGCAGGCCGCTATCAGGTACATTTTCCTCGGTCTCCCATACTGCGTTTCCTGTTTGTTGCTGTAGTCTACCTCCTAAGAAGACGATTCTGCGTGATCTATTTTCTTAATCACGATCATGGAACTCTGAGAAAAGATGATTACATTTGCCCCTCATCAATCCTGGACACAGTAGACCGGAGCTTGGAGTTGAGAGGCCTTTCTTCTTGCCTTCTTAATTATTGCAGTGCTGCCTCTCAACTGCTGTCGCCCATGTTATATTTAGACCATCTACCTAGCAAGGCCTGGCAGCCGGGGTACCCTTTGGATAGGTAAATACACGCCCTTACACGCTCCCAGCAGGCGTCACACCTCACCTGAGACCCTTTCAGTGTATGTGTACATCTCTTGGATTCAGTGAGTACACAGATTTCCTAGGAGCTGGAAATTTTAAAAGGCCTCTTTGAGGAAATATCTTTATAAGTACCAAATCCATTGGTTCCTCTCCAAAATGGCCAAAAACGCTCACAATGCAATTCGGCATGTAAATGTCACTGGCATAAAACCGATAATTTCCAAGCACTGTCTAAAGCTCAGTGAGGATGCCAAGGTGTGACCCGGGAGCTGCCCCCCAGGCTGGCTTCTTCGCCGCACACGGCAGTCACACGTTTCCACATACGACGCTGTCATCCGTTGACATGGAAACCACTGATATCACCCTGCTCTTGACTGAGCCAGACATATCAATGGCATCCAGATGGCAGGGGACAAAGTTTTAATCCAAACACAGACATCTTCAGCAATTAGTAGCGAGAGCAAGAGAAAACATTCCTTATTAAGCACAAGCTCGACAGATTTCTGATTAACCATCTCCGTTTCCGGCAGCCATGCACACTGGCGCAGGTCCACGGCCGGGCCTGGAAGCAAGAGGCCAGGCTAGGAGAGATCTGGTTACTGGCCAGAAAGGGTTTCAGCAGAAGTGGAGAGCACAGACCTGCCTCCTCAGACTGACATCACCAGATGGGACGCTGTGAAAATGCAGAGACGTGGGAAGGCCTAGGAAACATTGTTTTTCAGCCTGATAACTTTTGTGTGCATTTCAAAAATTTATTACTAAGGCTGGATTATATTTTTTTCATTGGCGCTGAAGTGATGTTTTTAAAAGAACAGCTAAGTCTTCTCAAAAATGTCTAAGTGACATAAATATTGCTTTTGTTGTTCAGTAAAAATCCACTGCACAATGGTTTTAAGTGATTTAATTGCCCACCTCTGGCACTTTCCCTCCTTCCAGGGAGTAGGCAGGGGCTGGAGACCTGGGTCGGAGAGGGGAGGCGCGAGAGGCGCTCAGGCCAGGCCAGTTACTGCGTCCTCCTGCAGGGACAGCCGTGGTGCCGCACTGATCTCTGCAGTTGCCCTGGGGCCTTGGCGTCCACGGAAAGCGGTCAAGACAAGCAAGAGGGAAAAGCCCTGTCCTGGCCCTGGTAAGACCAGCAGAGCCCCAGCCCTGGAAGCATCTCTCTAAATGCTGATAGGGCCATGGAATGTGGCTGACAGGCCTTCGACGATGGTCTCGTGTGAGTGTGGGACAAACAGCTAAAGCAGGAGTCAGCAGGCTCTGCCAGTTATTGAGCAGTTTAGAAGCAGATGCTTAATTATCCACAAGATGGAAAAACACATCCTCACCGTAAGGGCTGCTAAGAGGCTCCAAGGAGGTTGTGGAGCTGGTGGTGAGTGCAGCCGCTGGCTTTTGCCAGGTGCCAGGTGAGAGTCAGGTCCAAGACTGTCCCATGCACACTCCCTGGGGCCTCACTGCCCGCAGTGGGGCAGGGGTGAATCTCATCCCCATTTTACAGATGGAGAAACTGAGTCACACAGCAGGGCCATACAATTATCAATGGCCAATGGAGTCAGTGTGGGTTTGACTGTTACAGAAACTATAACGTGTCCAACAGATGCCAGTTATTATCATTCAACTCAATTGCCCTCTCAGAATAGGAGGAAACTGCTTCAGAGATGAGGCCCTGGGGCCTGAATCCCAGCTAGCTAATGGCCAAGTCAAGATGAGAGCCAGGTCTGAGAGGTCCAGAAGGTTTGCATGTGGCCTGACAGAAGATGTGACCAGATTTCATTTTCAGAAACAAAATTATTTCCTGTTTTGAGGATCAAGGAATTGGAAAGGACATGAGATTTTGTTTTTGCTTTAAATCATCACGGCCCTCGCCTAGCAACACAGCAGCACATGGGGTCTGTGTCCCACACTTAACTTCAGCCCAATTGCCAGATGCTGCAGCACAGTGCGGCTGCAGCCAGAGGCGGCTCCGGTGCATCCAGGACAACGTGGTTAAATGCAAGCCCTTGCACTGACTGAAATTAATTGCCAGCAAATAGGCTGGCACAAAGCTAAGTAGATCAATATCTGCATGAGAAAAAGAAATAGGGTTTTAGCTATACTATGCTTTCCCGGGTAGGCAGCAAATGCTGCTGTGTCCAGCCAGGGTCCACTCCAGTCCACCTGGCCGATCACTCTGAGAGTCCTGGGAGGGGGGCTGGGGCCCTGTGTCCCCCAGTGGGACTGCGGGCGCCCGCTGAGCTCTCGGAGCAGGGTGCCAGGCCAGGCGCTGTTCCCACGATGGGGCCAGAGGCATGGCTTGAGATGGGCGGGCTGTGGGGCTTGGTCAGATGGGGGCACAGTTAGTTAGGGTCCCTGTGTGCATCGAGGGTCAGCTTTCCTACCTAAATACCCCACAAAACATACAGGCTGCTTTACTTCTACGAGTCTATAAATTCCCCACTCTCAGATCGACCCTTTATTCTGCCTTGGGCCAGGGGATGGCTCCGTGACCTACCGACTTTAGGAAGGACTCTAAGATTAGTGGGCCCAAGTGAGAAAGTACCCAACCAAGATCTTAACTGGCAGCTAACATTTACTGAGCACTTACAATGTGCCAGGCTCGGGTCTGCATTTTCATTAACCCCCAGAAAAACTGGACGAATAGATTATTAGCTCTTCTCAAATCTGTGGCTGAGCTCTGAGATTCACTTTCCTCATTCATTCATTCATTCATCCAGCCATTGAACATGTAATGAGCATATGCAACGGGGCAGACCCTGTTTCAGGAGTGAGAATACTACAGTGCTTGGCCCGGATACATAACTGCTCTGTCGAGATTCTGGCCCAAAAATGTCGCCTTCTTCCCTCTCACCTCTCCAACCCCTTGGGCACAGCACACCAGTAAAGTCACGGCCTTGCCAAGGTAGCCTGCCGCTTGGTACCACAGGGAGGCTGCGGGCTGCAGGAACACTCGGGAAGGGGTGTGAGGGCGATGAAAGGGCCCCCTTCTTGGCTCTAGCAGCCGCAGGGAGCCAGGAGACAGTAAGCCCGGCCGCCCCCATGGGGAACCCCTAGGAAAGGAATCACTAGCACAGGCATCGCGCTGCCAGGAACCCTGCCCCCTCACCATGGGAGCACCCGGGCCGGCCCTGCCTCACACACTTGGCTGGAGGCCTCATTACACGGGCTGCAGGGTCTCACTCTCCCATTCCCGACTCCCTGCTGCACCCGGAGACAGGCGGGAAATGGAGGCATTGAGGTGGAGAGGAGATGCATATTTCTGTGGCTCCAAGGTGGAGTTTGGAGTCTTCCCATAGCAGCCGGGTAGTGAGTGGTGAGAGTTTCATAATGCTATTAATGTGATGCTTTGGAATTAAACTGGCTTTTCTCTCCAGCAGGCCTGGGACCTGAGCACCAGGCCAAATTCCAAGGAGAACTGCCTGGGCTTGTACTGGGGAGACACTGCCAGCCCAGCTGCACTCCGAAGCTGCTGGCTCCTCCAGAGTTCCCCACGCTGGTGCGCCTTGCCTCTCCCGGGCCGGCGGCTTCCGGCTCCAACATGCGATGTTTCCCTGATGACTGTTGAAGAAACGCTGCCCAATCTGTCTGGGACAGAACTTCTGTGGGGCTGTAAACTGCTGCCCACTTCTGAGGAGAATCACCATCCCTAACAACTGCTTAATGATTGTCTGATTCGTTTTAAAGACATGAAGACTTGTTCTGGGAATCTACTGGTGGGCCCAGCCTGCTGTGGGTCAGCCATCTAGGGTCCTTAACCAGACTTTCTGTTCCTGGCACAGCAGAGAATACCATTATTTTCTCCCTATAAAATACTCTATGAGTAAATCTTTGAATTAGCGTGCTGAAAAAAATTTTTTCTAGCAAGATTGTAATAAAACTGTGACATATGCTCATAATCAAAGTTTTCTTTAGCATTGTTCAGGAGCCACTGGGGGATTACTAAATGTTTTTGACATATCCAGAGCGAAATTAGAATCTCAAGAGACCGTGGGGAAGGAAGGTGCAGGCCGATGGGGCAGAGAGGCCCGCGCCAGGAGAGCAGGCCGCGGCTCTGGCGAGGGGAGATGGGCTTCCCCTGTCGGGGCGGCGGGGGGACCCTGGAGCAACCCCCGTCCGGCACATCCATGGCCGGGCCGAATCAGGCCTGAAGACTGCTCCTCTCCTCATGGGTCCAGGGCGCAGAGGCGTCAGGACTGGCGCTCGGCCGTCAGGGCTGGACTCGCAGCAGTGATGTCATTAGCAGACCGGGGAGACAGGGAAGGAATAGCTCCTGGGAGTCACGGGTCTGGTCTCACCCACTGCTTTCCCAGGAAGCGCACGCGGATGAGGTCTTTTCGGGGCGAGAACGTCTCCATCCACGGCCCCGGGAACTCTGCAGCCCAGGGCACCTGCTGCAGCCTCCTCGCTCTCGGCAGGGAGCTGTCACGGGAGGGGAGTGTGAGGGCAGGGCCAGCTCCTACCCATCCTGGGGTCCCCAGAGACACCAGGAGCCAACGCCCCGGGATCGACTGCTGTGCTGGGTGTGTTATTACAGAAAGCAGAAAGCCTGGGTGGGCGTGCCGGGTGGAGAAGGGATGACTCTGGGACATCCCACAGTCACACACGCGCACATACACAGGCACACACACGTGTGCGCGCTAGTGGCCCAGAGGTCAGCTGTAAGTTATAACTGGAGAACAGCAATAGCAGTGATACCACAAAGTCAGCATTAAATGCAGACAGGACACTGACCAGGGCGGACGAGTCAGACACGTGAAGGAAGACAAGCCGGCGCACCGAGGGGTTCGGGGACTGGAAGTGAGTTCCTGCCTGTGGGTCAGCCCCTCCTTCCCCACAGGAGCTGGATGACAATGGAGCTGGGTGTGATAATGCAGAGAGTGGGCCGAGGCCTGTACAGCGAGTCAAATTGGCAGCAGAACAGCTGGAGCAGCCTCATAACTCCCGGGCTACACGTCCTTCTTTCCTGCTTAGATGTTTGAAGAGCTAAGGACACATGGACTTGTACAGGACCGCTTCTATCTGTTATACCTACTACGCAGTCTCCACTCCTCGCTCGCGGTCCCACACTCAGCTCTTTCCTCACCGGCTTTCTCTGAGAGTCCCTGACTGATGAATGGACTGAGACAGAACTCCGGAGCGGGACTTGGGGCCATCTAGGGGGACAGAGGAGAGGCCAGGACCCCAGGGGAGGAAGGATGGCTGTCTCCAGTGGGCAGGTCAAAGCGAGACTGAACTACAGCAGCCCAGAATGTTTCCAGTTTCATTTCAGTGAAGGATGTGAAAGACTCTTTGGAGGTTCCAGTTCTGCCAGCTTTAAAAATCTGCTTTCTGCCAAATCCATTCCTTTTGCATTATTTCTCTGGGGGAAAAATTAGATACAAAAGGGGCATTTCAACAGATTTCAGTGTTCTGAGCAAAGTGAGATGCTATTCGATTAAAAAGGTAGGTTGTGCTCACGGATGAGCAATAAATATTTGTGGGAATGATTTTCAGTCTTGCTTTTCAACAAATAAGTGGACTTGAGGAGGATTTTGGAGAATTACTTTTGAAAGATTGAAATTAGCAGCTACAACCCCATCGCCTTCCACATTTATGTTGTAGGAAAAAAATTGTTTATTTTCCTAGCCTATGAGGGAGCTGGCTTTATTTTCCTCTGGTGTCTGATTTCTTGGTGAAAAATAGAGAGGACAAAGGAATAACACGAAATACAAAGTATATTCTTGGTTTTAAAGAGCAAACCAGAAAAAATAAGACTGTCAGTGTCTGTGCTCCTGGTAAACAACTTCTGAGCAGGCTTTGGAGGCACAGCCTCTCTCTCGCCTGCACTGCTGCAGGCAGCTGGGAGCCGGGCACTGCCACCCACTGCGTTCTGGTAACAGATGCCAGTGTCCTTGCCTTTAGTGTCCGACCACTTCGGGAATCCTGCAGCCCAGCGCGATGCTGGTGTACTTGGTTCAGGGGCCAAAGAAGAGGGCCCTTTGGGGTCAGTGGGCCCAGCAGGCCTCACCCGGGACAGAGCCAGCTGGCATCTTCCCACCTCAAACCCTGCTTTCTTGATAGCTCAGGGTGTGATGCACCCAGACAAGCATTTGTGTGTCAACGATACAGGGATATTTTCTTGTACCAGTTCCTTTTCACATCAGTAGCGGCTTTTTAAAGAACCCAATAAATGTAATCAAAGACCAAACAATCAAACGCCATAAATAATTCTGCTAAGAAACTGGAGAGGCCTTGGCAGCTGCACGCTCTCCCACTGCCTTCCCCACGAGCTCGCACACAGCTCTGTCATTCTCTCTCCCTTTTTGTTCTCCCTTCCTGCCTTTGTCTCTATTTCTAACACATTTTTTTTTACTGCTTTGCAACGTTAATCACTGAATATTTCTCTCGCTTTCAAAAGCCCAAATGGAAATGTGGGGTTGCTTCAGGGTCCCTTCCCTACTCCAGTCCCGGATGAGGACACCCGCACAGGCTCTGTTCCCTCTGGCTGGGGCAGGGAAGCTGTGGAGGCCGTGCCCTCCCGACCTGTGTTCCGCTGCAGGTCTAAAGACTTCCAGAAAAGCTGTCATTAAGCAAGCAGCTCCTGCCTAGCTCGCCTGGCCTGCTGTTTGTCCTCATCTCTGAAATGAGGCTTCTCTGTTCCAACGATTCGGTGGGGTGTCAGGTAGTTAGCAGCTAAATGAACTCTCCGTTCTTGCATATTTTCACGTTCTCATCCTCCTTAACCACTTTTGTAAGGGTACAAGTGAGAAACATTATCCGGAAAACACAAAAGGGGAAAATTGGATGATGACATTTTGATGAACAACGGAATTTAGGAATGTGGGCTCTACTGGAATGATCGTTTTAAATGATTTTTTCCAAAAAGGATTAGATTTAGATACAGTTTTAAGACTCTCTACTGCCCTTCCTAGTGAGAATCATGAAAACATTTGAGCATAAACAAAAATGTTGCATCATGCTGGGTGATTTATTTGGCACCATTAGGCAAGGGGGTGGGGGTGGGCTCTATCGCTGCATACTATTGATCTAATTATCAGGAAAATAATTTGGTTGCCTGAACCATGCACAGGGATTTAATGGAAGACAGGAGCCCGGCGCGTTGCTCCATGGTGCCACAGGTGGGGGCTGTCTGCCTCGGCACCCCAGCGAAGGCATGGCCCCTCCACACCACATGACTGTCCTTTCTGACTGGCTCCACTTTGGATGCAATTCCCCCGTGCAGACATGGATGGTGACGTCTTACCCGTTTGGTGAGCTGCGTGTCCATCATGAAGTTGTGAACATGCTTCTCCGCTTTGGTGAGTTCCAGCTTCCGGGCCACCACAGCCACCACAAGGGCAGTGCAGCCTGCACCCTGTGGGAGGACAGCAGGAAGACCAGAAGGGAGAGAGGACATCAGTGAGAGGCAAGGTGCAAACGCAGTGTGCCCATGCCACTCTGGGTGGCTCCTGGGAGTGGCATGGAGATGCTGCTCTGTGGCTGGTCAAGCCCCTGGCATACAGGCTGTCAATGCTGGGGCCCCGATGTCCCCACCGAAAACGGGACCTGCAATACCTGTGCCCCTCACTGGTTCTTACTGATGTACAGGGCTGAGACTTCAGGGCATTAAACCAACAATCAGGTCCCCTACCAGGCTGTGCGGATGGCAGGAGCCAGGAGGTCCAGCACACACAGACTCTCCCTGCCCCAGGCATGTCCCAAGCCCACCGCCAGCTCCAGCTAGTGGGGCCAGGAGGACAGCAGCCCGGGCACCGACTGCAGGATGGACCCAGTACCTGTGGAGGCTGTTTTCCTGAAAATAACTCCATGAAGAGGCAACATATTTTCCTCCAAGCTTGTCTCCCAGAGGGAACACTGGCTGGCACTCAACAGCTACCGGTGCTGTGGCCGGATCTTTTTACCTGAAGGTCTAGGCTGTGACACAACACAGGAAGCCACAGTTCCTCGGGAGTTCCCCGAGGTCCCTTACAGGAGAGCACGGGAGGGGCAGGCAAAGAAACAGGCTTTGGCTGGGCCACCAAATGGCCAGGTCAGGGGCTCTCCTAATCCTCTGGGCATATTGAGAGGGGGAGGGAAGCGGCCCGCCCCACCCTCCTCCCGGGGCGCTCAGCTGGCCTGTGAACAGGGGGAGACTCTCCCTCGTTCTGCCATGGGAAGTAGCCATCAGCCCTGTCCTTGGCAGGACAGGACTCTCCTTGGAGCTGTCACCTCTTCCTATAACAGGGACCACCCTGGCTGCCACTTATGGAAAGAGATGACAGACTCATCAGAGCCAACAGTGGGATCCTCTGGATGCCAAATAGTCAGCACAGTTTTAACAATAAAAGCACTGAGTGCAATTGAGTAGCATGAGAACGCCATTGTGAAGAAATCCATCAATAACACTGTTGGCTCATCAGGCCTTACAAAATGGTTGCGAGGCAGACAAGAATCCTTTTCAGAGGTGTTGTGCGCCACCACGGGGCTGGCAGGGGTGGCTCAGTGCCCTGGGCTCTCCTTGACACCCTTCCTCTCTCTTCCCTTGGCTGACAAAGGCTGGCCCCTGTGTGGCTTTTGGCACGGCTACAGTTGAGGAGGGTTTCTCCTGATTTTCCACAAGGGTCTCCATTAAAACAATCGAGTGTTTGTTGGTACATCTGGTAGCCACCCATTCTGAGCTCAGCAAGATGAAAAGAACTGGGTCTGTGTGAACTTCCTTTTCTGACCTCATTTTCCTCTTTTGTTGGGGGAAGGCTGGGTTTGCTGGGCACCTGTGACTCGCAGGAGACTCTGTGCCCAATTTTCAGAGAATGTGGGCAGTTGGACAGCCTGGTCTGTAGCTGTGATCAATTTAGCCAGGTCTCTAAAAGCAAAAAATAGCTTAAAAGAAGCTGTCCTGGAGGGAGATGTGAGCTCCCACCCCATCCACCAGGCCCAGGCTCCTCTCGCTTTTGTGTGGAGTTCCAAAAGTACACCAGGATGGAAGTGCACCAAGAGGGGCAGAGCAGTGCTAAAGACGGAGCATCCCACGGAGAGGGCTCTCCCGGGCTCTGCTCCCCCTTCCTGCAACACCTTGCTCACATCACCCCGAAGGCTGGGGTACAGCGGCCAGAGAGCCTCTCCTCCCCTGCCGCCTCGGGAGTTGATCATTGACATCAGATTGCCAGGGTCTAGGAGGAGTTCCCTGTGGCTCCTCATGGCCCAAAGCCTCGCCGGCTAACGCAGGGGGCTTCTAATGAGAAGCTAGAGTGTTTGAACTAAAGAGCCATTTGTCTCTATGAGGAAGACGCATTTCTGCATGGAGGCTGGAAGGTGGCCAGACAGTCTCCCAACTTCTCTGAGCTTAAAGATGCTGTGACTCCCTTATGGATATTTCTCTGGAGGCTGCTGTCTTCTTGACCCCTAATCCCAACTTGAATAGATAGCAGTGGATACTCTCAATTGTTTTCTTCTGGATAATCCGACACCTGTTTGTGGTTAGGAAAGGCGCCAATAATGAGGCCTCACCAGACCATTTCCAGCAACGGGCAACCTTGCAAAGACCGGGCCAGACCTCAGGGCCCTTCAGACAGTGGCGGGCAGCCCTGAGCTCCCGGCTGTGCTGGGGGTGAAGAGATCAGAAGAGGAGAAGGAAAGGGCCGGCAAGAGAGGAGGGCAGAGAGGGGCGGAGGACGAGGTGGGGAGCGAGGTGTGCCGTGTCCTAAACAGCAAAGGTCGGAAGACGGAAAAAGAAGAAAAGGAGGGAGTGCTGGTGGGGCTGAGAGGGGAAGGGAAGAACGAGGGGTGTAAGACCACCCAGAGGCGGACGGTCAGTTCAGGCTCCTTAAAGGGAACACAGGAAGGCCCACACCTGCCACCTGTCGTTCACCGGAAGTAGAATGAAGATCACCTGTCTCTGTTCCTTTCGGACGATGGCCTTTTACCTCCGGGAGGAGCTCGTCCCTCGGACAGGGCTGGCAGCTGCCTGGGTGTCCGTGTGATGGGACCGTGTGTGGTTAGATTTCCTGAGACAAAGCGACGAGGGCCTGGTGCCCTGTGGCACGTGAAGGCTCACGCCGACCTCGCCTGGACGCTGTGCCACAGCGGGGGCAATGAGGAGAGGGCAGGGTGGGGCAGGAGGGGTAAGCAGCTCTGGCCTGACCCTCCCCCTCGCCGGTCGGATGGGGGAGCACAGCCTTTTGCGCCAAGTCTTGAACCACGGTCGGCACCAACCCGGGCCCCAGGATGGGGTGGGTGGGGTAGGTGACCTCCAGCCAGTTGCCCCAAGGTGAGTGCAGAGCGGGTGCCGAGTAGGCAGACAGCAGGTGGGACCAGCTGACCGGGCCTCAGGCATCGCAGGTCCGACCCAGGTCTGGACCCAGCCCCGCACGAAGTCCTCCCACTTCTTGTTTCCAAGAAGCATTTCCAGCTGGAAGATCTTAGAAGCTGGAAAAACAAGGATCCCAAGGGGAAAGTATGAGATGTTCTTAACTAAAGAAGCATAAAATAAAACAAAACATAAATGAGAGTGACAAATGAAGGAGAGAAGCTGGAGGATTTACAGTTGGATTCTGTTGCTGCAACGGATTCCACATAACAACTACAATAACGTCAGCCGGCCTGAGACCGGGCTTTTTCCGGAGCCACGTGGCTAAAAGCGACATTAAGCAGATGTCTCACCAGCCCTGGGTGCTCCTCCCACCGGGACTCAAGGTGCGCTGCCTTCTACCTCAGCGTCGCTTTCCTGCTGCCTCGAGGAAGCCTCTCTCAGGAGCCACGGGACACGCTCGGTCCCACGGCACCCAGGGGCTTTGTCTGGGGGTCTGTGGCTCACAAAGGCCCACAGAGTAGAGCCCACTTGAGGAAGTGGCTCTGCTGAAAAGAAGCCACCTCCCAGCAGACGGGGGCCCTACGGTCTCTCAGATGTTTGCAGGACCCGGTGGCCGGAGCAGAGTTCGGGGCTCATCTCCGATTCGGGGCACCACATGATGCCAGCCATCCCCCTCCGGCCCTGCAATCCCCTGAAGACCCCTGGAAAGACGCTGGATGAGAATGTGCCCGTGTTGTGGGTGAGCGCTCCCGACACACCCAGTCTGCACCAGCAATGTCAAGTTGTCCAGACAATTATACACCCTGCCTAATGGTTGGTAATTACACCGTTACTGGGATTGCCAAGAGAAAACAATGATTAAGACCATTTGCAGCCGGCACACAAATCCTTCCTCTCCTTCCCCAGCCGGCCTTGCCTTGGCCTTCCTGGTGTCCATGGCAACCAAACAGGAAGCCCTACCTCTCGTCAAGGCACTTGCAGTAACAATCAGGAGCCACACATCGTGTGCACTTCTCAGGAGGAAGGACTCGGCTGCAAAGTCGCCCTGGATACAAACCCACCAGGGGCCCGGAGTGAGGGGCTGACTGTTGGAGGACCTGCCCGTGAATGGGAAGCTGCACTGGGCCTGGGGACTGAGGGCCCCCACGGGAGGCCAGGTCCGTGCAGAGGGTCAGGTGGGGCCAGTGCTGTGTAAGGACCGCTCCAGGTGGGCATCGGCTCCCTCACCTGCTTGTCCTTTCCAGCCTGACCCTGCCTCAGCCCACGAGGAGTGGATGCGCCCTGCCTGGGGTGCTGTGGACCCCAGAGCAAAGGGCTCGCTGGAAGGCAAAGCGCCCACCGGAGACCTCTCCCTGAGGAGGAGCAGGGTGGGCGGGTCCTTCGGCTCCCACTGTGCTTCGTCAGAGATGGGGGGCCAGGAGCTGGGGGACAGCACTCTCGGGTGGGGCACAGCTCTGTGCTGCGCCGGAATGTAAAGGGCCCAGAGCCTCCCTGCTGGAGCAGCCCAAAGCCCAGGCCCCAGAGTGGCCCTCAGAAGGCAGGCTTTGGCCTTCCGGTGGCATCTCATCCTTTCTGGCAGGAAGTCACCTTTCCTGGTGACAGCGAGTGCCAGACCCCTACCTGACAGGAGGTGCTCCTTCTTCCAGCCCCCAGCCGGCCCTGTCTGCATCTGGAGGAGGAGGGCCACCTCGGACAGGCCTCCTCTCCCTGGGCAGCCCGAGGGAGGTGTCCTGTCTGCCATGTGATCCCGGAGGCCACCAGGCTGAGCATGGTGGGGAGCAGGGGTGGCCTGGCCTGGGGAGGCACTGGTGGAGGGAGTCACTGCCCTTGCAGCAGAAAGAGGGTCTGTCCCGTCCCCTGGGAACACGGAGGTGAGCAAGGCCTTGGGGGCCCCAGGGGAGGGCGCACAGCACAGGGTGGGCCCAGGCGCAGCTCCTGGGAGGCCTGTAGTGATGACCGTGGAGCGCCCCAGGGGCAAGCAGCCCCAGGCCTCTGTCAGGCTCACCCAGGCCTCCATGTTGCCTTCCCTTTGAGCCTTTGCTTCCTTTTCTGAAAAAAGTGTCTCCCTGCTCTAACACCGTGCTCATCCTAGGATTCCAGGACGGGCCCAGAGCTGCACCCGCCTGTCCTGCACCTAGGGTGCAGCAAAGCCGAGGGTGCCCCACCAGCTCTCGAGGGGGGACCCAGGGGGCACACAGAACGAACCGGCACTGGCCCTGTGTACTTGTTTCCCGCACACTCCCACGTAAATCGTGCTGCCGGCCTCATGGAGGCGGTGAGCGGCCAGCAGGCTCTCCACCCAGCTCCCAGGGACAGCTGCCCTCGGCGGGGTGAGCGCCCTGCACCTGGCCCTGCTCTGCCTGCAGACCGCGTCCTTCCCACCTGCAGCAGCCTGTGCTTCCAAGAGCAGGCCCTGGGAGGCGCAGGGCTTCGGCAGGAGAAATGCACAGCGGGGGGACATGGTACCCGCTGGGCACTGGGGTGGGCTTGGCCTGGCAGGGCCAGCGCTGGACAAGACTTGGTTCTCAGGGCCCAGAGCCTTGCTACTTTGGAGCCTGGGGCTAGCAAGAGCTGGGTGGGCAGGACCCAGCAGCTGCCAGGCCTGTCTGGAACACAGCTCTTCCCCCAGCCACTGCCTCTCTGAGTCCCAGGGACAGGAAGAGCCCCGAGGCCAGCAGAGGTGACTGAGGGTCAGAGTGGTCACCAGCTTCCCCCAGCCCACGTGGGGCAGGCAGGGAGCAGACTCGCAACTGCCAGGAGCTAGTACCTTACTCCAGCCTGAGCAAAAGAAGCTGAAAAGGAAAACAACCACTGTGGAGCTCGCAGCTGCCTTGCTTTCTGTCTTGTTTTGTTTTGGTAGTGATGCCAGGCATTTGCACTGAGCTACATCTCCAGCTCTTTTTTATTTTGAGACAGGCTCTCCCTAAGTTCCTAAGTTGTCCGGGCTACACTCAAACTTGCAATCTCCTGCCTCAGCTCCCGGAGCGCTGGGGTTACAGGTGTGCACCACCGCAGGGGGATGCACTAGGCCGGCCAGGAAGAGCTGTGCTGTCTCAGAGCACTAGGGCAGGGTCCCCGCGGGGTGGTACTCACCATGATGCCAGTGAGAAGGCAGACACCTTTCCCACAGTATGTGTGGGGCACCATATCCCCGTAACCGATGGAAAGGAATGTGATGGAGATGAGCCACATGGCACCCAGAAAGTTACTGGTTACGTCCTGCTGGTCGTGGTACCTGCCGAGGGGAGACAGGAGTTAGCGGGTCCAGCTGTGGTGCCCGGGAGAGGCTGTGCACAAACCTAGACGGGAGGGCACGAGGTATTTTGCTGAGGAGGGTGCAGCAGTAACAGTGGCGCACAGATAGCTTCCTCCCCTTCTTCCCCTCCCTCCCTCCCTCCCTCCCTTCTTTCCTTCATGTCCTTCCTTTTTTTTTTTGGTACCGGGGAAGGAACTCAGGTCCTTGCACTTGTGTAGCAGGCGGCAAAACCACTGAGCTAAATCCCCAGCCCTATGTCCTTCTTTTTGTAGTACTAGGGATTGAACCCAGGGCCTTCACACTGAGCTACTTCCCCAGCCTTTTTAAAATTTTGAGACAGGTTCTCAATAAGTCACTAAGTTCTCTGGGCTGAGTTTGAACTTGGAATCCTCCTGCCTCAGCCTCCTAGAGTGCTGGGACTGCAGGGGAGCACCACCAGGCCCGGCTGGGCCCCACCTGCAGCTCCTGTCCTGCCATGGCCCACCCACAAGCTGGGGCCCAGAGAGAAAGGGCTGCGATTTGCCGCCTGGCTCACTCATCCTTTCAGTGCTGGTAGGACAGCTTTGGCTGCAATCATGCAGTAATGAAATTTAAATTCTCCCTTCTAAGCCAAGTCTAAATGTATGTGGAGGCGATTAATCGGAAATTGCAAGCTCCTCAACAGAGAAACTGGCAAAAAGAAAATCACTGCACACGTTTAAGGAAGCCAAAGGGCCGCAGGCCCCGCCCACATCTCAGCGCCGTCCAGGGAGCCCCAGGGCACAGGGGCGTGGTCTCCCCTCCGAGCTGGACAGGAATGCGCAGGCGGGATCTCGCTCCGTGGCTCCTCTGACTTGAGCCCTGCTATCCTTCCCCGGCCCCGGAGTCAGCCCTGGGAGGGCGCCAGGGATGCAGACCCCTGCAGAAGGGCCCAGGACGTGGGCAGATGAGGCACGGGATGCCAGAAGTGGCCGCCAGTGACCCCGACCCCAACTGCAAGGGCAGTCAGAGCCAGGCCGCCCAAACCCAGATACAGCCAGTGAGATGAGTGAGGGGTGCGGCCGGGTGACGAGGCCTGGAGCCCCCTCCTCCAGGGTGGCAGTAAGGCCCTTGGATTCTGTTTCTTTATTTGGTTTTGGTAAGTTGCCCAGACCGGCCTTCAGCCCACCATCCTCCTGCCTCTGCCTCCCTAGTAGCGGACTGATTGCAGCTGTGCGCCGCCGTGCCTGGTTTACAGCCTTTTACTGCAGTGCACTCTTGTTAGTGTGCTTTGCAATACAGAATAGCGATGTTCCTTTGGGGCACTGGTACAGGCAGATAACAAATCTTTTTTTTTTTTTTGGTACTGGAGATCCAACTTGGGTCCTTGTGCTTGCGCAGCAGGTGGCAAAACCACTGAGCGAAATCCCCGGGCCCGGATAACAAATCTTGATCTTTTTCTCCCCCTCCCTCTGGTCCTTTCCCATCTCCAAAAGTCTGTCTGTGACCTACCATCTCTCTTTCACTCATTCATTCATTCATTTATATATTTCCCACAGAAGAGAAATCATGCAATATTTAACTTCTGAGCCTGAAATTTCATTTGTATATATTCTTTTTTCTTTTTTTTCTTTGGTACCGGGGATCAAACTCGGGTCCTTGCATTTGCGTGGCAGGTGGTGGAACCACTGAGCTAAATCCCTGGCCCCAGACATTTCATTTGGCATTAAGTTCCATCCATTTCCCTGCAAATGACAGGATTTCATTCTTATTTATGGCTGGGTAATACTCCGGTGTGTATGAATGCCACTTTTTCTTTATCCATTTGGCTGTTGTTTCCAGAGCTTAGTTACTGTGAGCTGCACTGCTGTAACATGCGCAGGCATGTGTCACTGGAGTGGACTGTCTTTAATTCCTTTGGGAATATATCAAGGACAGGCATAGCTGGGTCCAATGAAATTGCTATTTTTAGTGTTTTGAGGAAACTCCACGCTGATTGTACTATTTTACACTGTCACCAACAATGTAAGAGGGTTCTTTCTTCCCCACAGCCTTGCCAGTATTTGTTGTTATTGGATTTCTTGATGATGGCCATTCTTTCTGCAGTGAGAGGGAATCTCAGTGTTGTTTTAATTTGCATTTCTCTAGTGGCCGGCGATGCTGAGCATTTCTTTATAGCCCTTTTCAAAGAGGCCTGTTTCGGCCTCTGCTTCGTTTGCCCTCCACTGCTGGGAGCCATGTTGGAAGCAGACCCTGCAGCTGCCAGCACCTCGAGCCTGCACTCCCAACCTCTAGACCTGTGAAAAATAAGCTTCCGTTCTTTATAAGTTCCCTAGTCGGTGGTATTCTGGGACAGCACCACCAGCAGGCCAAAACAGTGGCATAGAGGAGCAAGACAGCTGTCCCGGGAGCCGAGGGGAGAGGGGCCTGGCAGAGAGGCTTCCCTGTGAGCACCCAGGCCCAGCCCGGGGCAGCCTGGCTGCTGCCTGGGGTGCAGTGTTCAGGACAAGGCTCTGACAGGAGCACCCCCTGACACTCCATGGGCTGCATTTGTCCTGGGGCCCCTGGTCAGCCTTGGGAGGCCCCTGGTGGGGAGGCTGAGGCAGGGCTGGGTAGAGCAGAACTCGGCTCAGGACCGTCCTCCTCAGGATGTGGCTCCCTGGCGGTGACAGGAACTCACGCGTGTGCCGTCGTAGGGAGGCCTGGGGCTCGGGCCCTCAGTAAGGACTGGCTACTCTCATCAGTGTCCTCCTGCCCCTCCGGCTGCCACTCTCCTCCTGTCCCCAGGGTGGCCAGGCAGTGACAGCTGCAGGGTGCAGAGCTGGAGGTGGGCGTGGTGGGAAAGGAGGTGGAGTCACTGCCTTGGGAAACACCAGGAGCACCAGGGCAACGACGGCGACGCCCGGTATCAGGCACCGACGTGTGGCTGACATTCTAGGCAGAAATACTCTGATTCTCATCATGTCCTTTCAAGTATCCTGTAGGAAGTCTGGAGCAACAGGAAGTCCAGAGATGCTGAGTGGCTTGCCAAGGACACGCAGGAGGGAGCCAAAGCGAACCAGGCTCCTTTCGCTGCTCCCCTAGGATTACAGCAGCAGGAGTGACTGGAACGTGTCTTAGGGAAAGATGGGAAAGCTTCAGTGACTGGAGCTGTTATGGCTCCATCTCAAATGGCCTCCAGAAGGCTCAGGTGTTCAGAGCCCGGCCTCTGAGAGGTGAGTGGATGGGGGTGCTAACCTCATTAGTGGACTCATCCATCGATCAGTTCATGGCCCAAGTGCTGTCGGGAGGTGGGGCCTGGCTGGAGGTGCTGACTGGGATGTGGCCTGGGGCGTTTTTGTCCCTGGCCCCTGCCTCCTCTCGGGTTCTTCCTGCCCTCCCTGATTCCTGGCTGCCATGGGTTGAGCTACTTTCTCTGCCACACCCTTCCACCATGCTTTCTGCCTTGGAGCTGGTGACCATGGGCTGGAACCCCTGAAACCATGAGCCAAAATAGAACCTCTCTCCTTAGGGTGTGCCTGTCAGGTACTCAGTTCTAGCAATGAAAGCTGACTAGCACAGGGACACCCGGGCTCCAGTAACAGACAACGAGCTGGCTTTGGAAACTGGTGAGTTCCAATGTCGGAGGGCCTGGAATATAGGAGTGGAAGTTTGATTTTAGTCTTAGAGACCTTGGAAGTAACTCTGGCAGGAAGGTAGCATGACTCTAGGGGAAGAACAGTCCACAGGTGGTGAGGCGACCTAGCAGAAGCTCGAAGGGAGGAAAGGGGCAGGCAGCGGCTCACATGCCTCAGCCTGGCCCTCATCATCTGGGGCTCGTCCAGCCTGTGTGCACCCTCCACTGGCAGTGAGACGGGGTGGTGTCAGCCTTTTTGTTAAGTGTTTGCAGGACAGCTGAAAGTGCTGCTGGGATGGTGGCTCTACCTGCCTTCTCCTCTCCACTCCACCCTGGAGGCCTTGTTTCCCCAGGGCTGGCCTGGGTCGGCCGGTCTGGCTGGCCTGGAGAAGCACAGAGCCCAACTCTGACCCCTGGTGCTGCACCTGCCCCGGCCCTGGCCCTGTCCTGGTGTGGTAAGGACAGGCCACTGCTCTGTCCTGCTGCCTGCCTTGCTGGGCTCAAGCTCTCCACTGGAGAGCCAGGCTGTGCAGTCTGTGACTGAGGAAGACTTAGAGGTGAATGCAGAGGACATGGAAGGAGAAGGCCTGGGCAGCCACACGGCAGGCAGCATACAGAAACAAAGGTGCAGTCCAGGCAGGGTTACCTGGCCCAGCATGGCCAGGTCAGACCTGAGGACCCTGGGACCTGGCTTAGTGGACGAGTGGGTCCCCAGGGGCTTGGAGGCTCCAGGTCCAGCTCTACCCTAGGAGGTCCACGGCCTTGGATAAGGGACTCCTCCCGTGACTCAGTTTCCTCGTCTGCTAATGGGAGATGAGGTGAAATAAGCAACAGAAGGCACGGGTGGGCTCCAAGTGCTAGCATTGAGCGGGGCACTGTCAGCAGCCAGGAAGGGTCCATGGGACAGTGTGGACAAGCAGTGGACAGGAAGTGCAGAGCCCTCAGGTGCTGGGGCTTCCCTGAAGCCCTGCAGTTTAGGCTGCAGAACTTTCAGGGGCTTTTTGGACAGTACCAGGGACTGAACCCAGGGCTTTTGTACTGAGCTACATGACTAGCCCATTTTTAATTTTCAATTTTGAGACACAGTCTCACTAAGTCTCTACATTGCCCAGGTTGAACTTGAAGTTGCAAACTTCCTGCCTCAGCCTCCTGAACTGCTGGGATTATAAGTGTGCATCACTACAGGTGGCAGAACTATTTGATACAGGGACAAAAGGGATCTGTCAGTTCACTGGCAAAGAAAGGCCACAAGACACTCAGTGTCTGCGAATTATTCTTCTAGTAGCTACATGCAAGCCTGATTAAAGTGGTCAGGCCCCAGATCGGGAGAACTAATTGCTACAAGGCTTGTAGATGCCCAGGACGAACAGTGGAGGGCCTTGAATGCCAAACTAGGAGGTCTGGG